AAAAAAAAGAGACGAAAAAGAAATAGAATGACATCAAAGTGTTCATTTGAAAAATGCTCATTTTCAGAAGTGAAAAAGGTGACGGCAGCAGCCGAAAATCTATTGATCGTAAAAAAGAAACAAAAATTATCAAAGAGACACATAAAATGAAAAGATGAAGAAGGAAAAAACCTGTAGTTGACCCTAAGAAAAGCTTTGGTGAACTATAAGCCAAAGAATAAAATTGAGATACACAGAGAGGAGAGAACAAATTTCACATAAAATCTTCACTGGCCAGTGTAAACTTTTGTCTATGAAATGATGATTTTTTTTGGTCGTGGCTTACCTGTTAATCTGGTTGTCTTCAACATCCAATTTATTCTATTCACATAAATTCGACTACAAAAAAAGATACACAGACGAAACCTCTCCATAACCGAATCGAACCGTTGTCCGATATGTCATGGTCGTGTCAATGCAATCGGAGAAACGAACAAAACACATTGAAAATAATGACAAAAATTTTCAGTGACATTGGGCTACGTAACATCAACCAGATTTTAGAGGGAGAAAGAGAAGAATGAAAGAAATGTGGAATTAACAAGAGGTTAACAGGAGAAGCAAAAAGGAGCTGTAATAAACTAAGCCTCATCCAAGAGACACACAAAAGAGAGGACAAAATGTGTTAAGATTTGAAATTTAAACTTTTATTTGAGTTTTGACTTTTATTAACAGTCCTTTTCCATGCCGTCTCTCATTTCATCTCGTCTCAAAATGCAGGTGATTCATGCGCAACACATAAACATCAAAGGTGAAAATTGGAATTAAGACACACTATTTACATCGAAAAGCTAAAGAGAGGAAGAAAAAGAACGAAAATTTTATCGCAAATTTACTTTTGTTATTTGTCGTGTCGGTGGAGTGAATTTCGAATTGATGCAAATGCCCAGATAAGGGTGTATGTGTGTGTTGCTGTCACATAAAAAATGCCTAATGATCACCGACCGAAAAATCGAAGAAAAAAGAAACACCTCCGAATGATCAGAGTATTTATTGAGTATTGATTAAAATGGTTCGAAATCCGTGAAAATGTTTGTTTAAAAGCGACACGTTGCCCAATCGCCACACACTTATTATTATATTACCTAGAACTCGCACATTTAAAATGATGCAGAAACGAATTCCGAAAAAAAAAACGTATCAAAAATCGAATTGAGAAAAAGAAACGAAGATGTTGAGATGGAGAGAAAAAAATACACGCCAAATTAATAAACACAGCGAAGCTCATTAATTATGTCGATGATCAGAGTCGTTGAATGTGTCGGCTATTGGCTGTTAACAAAGAAGCAGCAACTGGCCAAAAACAACAAGAAATAGAATATTTTTGCCCATAACGTTTATTTTCTCTCTCTCTCTCATCTTTCCACCGAAAATAAAGCAATTAAATAAATATTCGGATATAATTTTTGCGTCAGAATGGGACCTAGTTGGGTGTTACTGTGTGACTGCTCGCACTTTGGCGAGCTCCAGATTAGAGTCTTGTGGTGTGTATTGATTGAGAAATTATATTGCAAATATTTCACTTTTTATGAGAGACGATCGTGGCGGTGCGCATAGCACAGACCCTCTGTCAGAGAATGGCAGCGATAAACAGATGAAAAGAGCGTGAGAGTGCGAGAGAAATAATTTTCGGAAAGAGAAAATAAGCCGCACCGAATGAAAAGCGTAAAAAATTGTGTTATAAAATATATCCGTTTCTTTTTTTTGTAATTTTGGGTATCTTTTTTTGCTGCTGCTGCTGCTGTTGCTATTCATTCGTCTTGATGATTGGACCAATTTTTACTTTCCGCCAGAGCAACAGGTAAACGAAGCTAAGCGTTCTGAATGCGCAAAAAAACAATAACAATACAAACCGGAGCATTAAAAAAAATGCGCGCGGTCATAATTTATCAATTTATGTATTTAATGCATTGATAGTCTCGTTTCCATGTGTATCTCTTGGTGTACGAACTCACACGGAAGAGAAAGAGAGAAAGAAAAGAATAACAGCAACCATCAACGCCAATGTTAAGGAATAAATATATCGCCCGGTATCACTGTTGGGCGCTGCTTTTATCTAGTTGCTTCTTATACACAGATTGCTATATATTATATTATATATATGAAT